CATTCCCTCGTGGCGCCATTACCGCAGACTGTGACGCCGCACTATTGACTACTCCTTCGGGAGGACCAGCCTGAGAGGCTATGATGTGAGGGGCCCTTTCAAGAAGAACCCAAACAGCAAACGTTGAGTTTTGACCGTCCGGAATGGACAAGTTGACGACTTGACCCAGCTGGCTTGCTGAATCTTGGCTGAAGATGCTATTGAAGTGCTCATGAAAGGCTCACCATTTGAAACCATTCATTCCATGGGAACACCAATAACCAATCATTCTTTCTTTTTACTCCAAGTGACTTGGCAGTAACTCTTTCTTTTCTCTTCTTTTCTTTTCTTTTTCTTTTTGGTTCTGTTCTTTTCTTTTCCTTTCTTTTCTTTTTGTTTCTTTCATCCTGAAGCCTGCCATGGATGTTACACTGACTATCCGCAACGCGAGACCGCAAGATGTGCAACAGCTCCTGAATTTACGGAGGCCAAGGAGGGACAGATCCCCACTGAGGAGACAGCGACCGCATATTCAAATCTTAAGCAACCAGCAGCAGGATGCGCTACAAGCTTTGGATTTTAGAGCGGAGCAGGACACTCCGTCCATTAGCCGATCAGTGAGCCGCTCACATCAAGAGCTACAGCCGCTACCTCGAAGGAGGCCTGACGAGGCATATGAAGGCACTAGAGCAAAGCACAAGGCAAGGCCTTACTCGGCCTTCCCAAGGGTGCGGCAAGCACCGACAGGTTCTGCAGCATCTTCTTCTACTTGGAGGCCAGAAGAAGCCAACAGGGATCGGGCACCCGGTGCTGGAGACATGGATCAATTTGCAAACCTAGGAGTCTGGAGCAGCCCTACTAGAAGAAGCAGAAGACCATCTAGACGTCGCAGCTCCAGACCTACTCCTCCTCCATCACCATCCCCATCCCCATCTCCTCGCAGGCACAGAAGCAGGAGCAGAAGAAGAGGACCTTCGATGGAGCAACGCATGCAAGATGAAGCTGATCATCAACGCAGACAAAGGCAGATGCCCAGCACCTTGGTTGACACTGATGTCAGCATGCCGCACAACCTGAATCAGTACAACATCAATTGGGCAAGCTTCGAGGTGCAAGGATTTCAGCTTCCTCGCCAGTCACAACAGTACTTTGCTGGAGCATGACTATGGGTCAGATCGAGGCTTGTGTACATGGGACAATCCAAATCCTGAGCATCTCTACCCATAGAATCTGTCGACTTCACAGGACCTGACTGTCAAGGACGCCCCGTTGCCCAGCAGAGACAATCAGATGCTATTCTGGGCACATGCCACAACAGTTGGTGGCCTGCGTTCTATCCTGAAGTTTCGCAACATGGCACCCATGGAGGCACACAATGTGCCTAACAACAATACATTCTATGCCATAGGCCACCCAGTGTATGGTGGCCCCGAGGATGATTGGTCTATTGCAAGGGTCATTCACAACGCAGCAACCTCTGCAAAGAATGTGGCGCAGGTCATCGTATGTGGGACTGCATGGGGGTCCCTCACAAAGATTGCAGGGGGATCATGGGTGACCTCTGTCAAGGCCACAGAAGACGACCAAGTCTATCGCGATAAAAATGGCAAGGCATACGTCATATCGCGTAACCGCTACAATATTGCTGGAGTTGCCTGTGCTGCAAACATGACCCCTCCAAGTACAGCGGCCACATTGTTGCATGAGTATGCTCGAGCTTCTGGACAGGACATTCACCGCTCATCCCGGGCCGCAGCAGCATTGCTCAATCGATGAGGTCGTGCTATAAAACCCTTGGCGTTGCGGAGCTCAGTGCTTTGTGTTATGTTATATTCTGCAGACACTTGGACGCTGCCTTGTGCCGTCCAACAATCCGTACAGAGTTGCAAACAGTTCAGTCACAAAACAATGTGCAGAAGGTCGTCTTGCTCATGCATGTTACATTGATTATTCAAGGCGGTGAATCTTGCGCATGAGCCTACTACAAGTGCATGAATGTATTTTGGTTCCAGTGAAACCTGAAACCTAAGACTTGTAAGATTCTTCTTTTCTTTTCTTTTGTTTTCTTCGGGTTCCCTTCTTTCTTTTTCTTCTTTTGGGTCTCTTGTTAGTCGTTTACTGCGTAAGCAAAGATTCCTAACATGTCGGAGCCATGGAACGCGCAGTCATGGGCTGCCAGTGGTTGGCAACAATCCGGGTGGGATGATTTCACCAGTCAGTGGTATGATTCAGAACACAAGTACGGATATGACAGCCGCCAGTCCACCCTGGGCAAGAATCAAGGTGATGCAGATCTCCCTTCACACTTCAAGCCGAGCAAAAACTACTTGGATGAAACTCTGGTCTACAGAAGCACCCTCAAGCGCTACATTGAGCCTTCAGCGTGGTCCAGAGCCAAAGGTATTGCAGGCAAACCAGTGCAAGATGTGAGGCTCACAGACCTGACTCACAAAGGCATTCAGGAGTGGATGATCAGAGGTCTCAGCCATGGCAAGTTCACTGGAGTTGTCCTCACCAAGTCCATTGCAGAGAGCGTCTTCACAGCAAGGTTGTTATCGGCATTGAGAGAAAAGAAGGTTGACATTGATGAGACGGTCAAAGCAATGCACAAGGACAAGTCCAAGAGGACCATTCCAGACAAGACCAGTGAGGCCACCAAGTTTATTCAGCCATTGGTGGATGTGGTGATACAACAATTGCAGCCCTGCCTCGCCACCATTGATCAAACAACAGTAACCACAAGCTCAGGTGACAACAAAGAGTTTCAGGACATGCAGCAAGACAATGCCAAGCTGCGACAGAAACTCCAACAAGCAGGGATTCCAATCACACCGGTGAAGCGCAAGTCCACTAAGAGAGATGCAGAACCAACAGCATCAAGCCCTGAGGAAGACGCAGACATTGAAGGTCAGGATCAACCACTTCCAGTGCAGACATCGATGGCGAAGAAAAGGAAGACGACCAATCAAGGCAAGTGCAAGGCCGACATCCTCAATGAGCCCACAGACGTGTTGTCAGACAATCTCCCCAGCAACGTCAACAACATTAAGTCATGGGTTGCTGCTATTCGCAAAGACCTCAGCATCAGCAAACAGAAGCAGTTCGATTCCCATGTCAACAAAATGCTTCAGGTGATTGAAGGCAAGAAGTGCAAGAAAGACGAATTGCAAACCATGGCGACCAGATGGGGACTCCCCTTCAGCATGGCCAACACAGCCTCACCAAAGAGTTTGCAGAATATTATTGCGGTGGCAACCTGGCACTGCTTGTGACTCACACAAACGCTCATCAACACATCAATCCACAATCCTGACAGACAGCCTGGCGAGGTCACCTTCACCGAAGCGGCCACCATAGTTGATGAGCTACAAGCAGTGATGCAGTTCTTCCAGTTCTTGATTGTTGAAGTTCCTTATGTCTCTAAAGAGGTTATGATGTGGCTAGTTGGGTTAATCTTTTTGGTGTTTCTCTTTTACCGTTCAACCGCAACATCAACAGCAAAAGAGATTCGCGAAAAGCTGAAACAAAAAGGATGCATTCCAGAACTGTACACGTTTTCTAGATTTCAGCAAGTCAATGCAGTATATGCCAAAATGATGCTTCCGACGTTCAAGAATGGCTTCGCGCAGTTCAGCACTCAGCAGTCCATCATGTACATCTTACCCTGGCGCTCAGTGGTCACAGTGGGTACCGTGATGCATGGGCGGCCGAACACTCGACTATTCAGTCTTGGCAAGCCCGTCTGAATCACCCATTCATCACCAAGTTCCTGGTAAAGAAGGCACATGGCCTTGTGCCAGCCAAACACCGACCGTCAATTCAACCAGGCAATGACACCCTTGGCGTCAAGCTATTCAAGAAGATGCGTCGCCGCCTACATCAACAACGTCCCCAAGAAGTACGACTGTTACCACAACTTCCGCAGATGTGGGAATTATTGTATGATCTGGCATCAGACACGCTCAAGGAGTTTGAGACCAGCAAACTTCTCCGGAGTGGTAAGTATCCATCAGAGATTGGATTGGTTCTTTACAGACTTGCAAACCATTTGGAACAACCCTGGAGGTCCAAGTGCACAACAAGGCTCAAATTCATTCTTCAATTCAGAAATCAGTCCATCCCCAAGAAGAACCGCCCACTCAAGATTGCGTTTCTTGCTCATGAAGGATTCCGTATGCGACTACAGCAGTTTTTGCATTAGGAAGTTCGACGTGCTCAACCAGTTCTGATACCATATCATTTGCCAACTACAAGACCGTTGGAGGCTCCACCTACCAAGGTAACCAAGCTGCTTTGGAGTAACGTTAAGGAATTGCCGACACCAGCCAGTACATGTTCTTGCAAACACTTTTTGAAGAAACATTGCAAGGCCAACAATCTGGATGGTCATGTGGTTACAGGATTGGAGACTTTGACGTTGCCTTCAAGCATGCAGCATTTCCAGGACATGGGCGGAGCTAATGCGTACTATGACAACAAGACCAAGTTCATTGAGAATTCTATGCAGACTATGAATCGCTGGATGCAACATCATCAATTTCCGGTCTACTTGGGTACAAAGCAACAAGTCAGACAGTTCCTGGAGGACCAATGGCAACAACATTCACAATCATTACAGCGCAATCCTCGGTACACAGTTGGTGGAATCAAGTATTTAAAATCCTTCATTCCAGCAGATTTTGTGGTACACAATGAAGATCACGCCAAAACCACATCATGATCTACTGCTCTCAAGTTTTTTAATCAGGCAGCAATCAATTCATGGGCGGATCCAGGTGTATTCACAGAATTGAGCAACAGCCCGGAACAACTCAAAATTCAGATGAAGAACAACCTGCCGAAATCTCTTTCGAAACAACAACAACAGCTGGTGGATTTCAAGAAAGACCTTCCATATGGCTACATCATGATGAAGCGCAAAAAGCAATGGACCAAAGGCAGAACAATTGTGGCATATGGATCCACATGCATAGGAAAGCTTCTTAAACTTGCAGCACTGGCAATACAAGAGTTGCTAAATTCTACATGGCCTTCGCATTTTGGAAACCGGCTAACACCCACCATTTGGAAAGACATTCATCGATTCTTCGAGACAACAGTTTTGGACGACAACATCGTGTTCCTGAACCATGATTTGGTTGGCTTCTTCAACTCCATTCCGCAATCAACTATTTTGTCTGCGCTACAATCCTTAATTCAAGACTTTCTTTCTTCTGGACGCGCTAAGACACTTATGGTTGACCTTCTTGCAAAAGTTGGCCCTGTTCAGTCTGGAAAGTCCAGGTTCAGTGTCAAAGCCAATCAGGTTGAAATCAACATGAAACAGCTGATGGACATCCTTCAGTTTTCCTTTTCCTCTGGATGCTTCACAACACTTGGAAAATGTTACAGACAAGTCCAAGGCACTTCCATGGGAAATCAGGTTAGCCCCATTTTGTCGTCCCTCTCCATTGTGGCGTTTGAGAGAGCTTGGCTACACATTCATTCAACGCTTCTTTCCAAACTTTCTTCCAAAGTTCTTGTCCTTCGTTATGTGGACAATCGTGCAATCTTTATCCATGAAGACCTGTTGCAATGTTCTGGGCTACGTGAGTTGGTGAGTCTTGATTTTTACCCAAAACCCATTCAGCTGGAAGATGAAGAACACAATGAGTTTCTTGGATTTCGCATCAACCCACAGTGTCGAGAAGTCACGTACCCGATGAAAACAGAAAAGTGGCGATATCGATTACCTTGTTCTGCAGGCAGCCATCAGCTCAACCTCTCAGGCTACAGATCAAGACGACAGCTTATTGGCAAGTTTGTGTTTCCATGGACGACCAAGTGCCAACAGATGCAGGAACTTAAGGAGTTGTACAGATGGTTAGGATTCGACGTGACATGCTTTTGAAAATTGAGTGACAGCATCATGTTTTCGCCTTCATGTCGATTGTGTCCCTTGGCGTTCTTTTGCTTGCCTTTAGCCGACTCTAAGGTTCAAATTGTAGCAGTTAGGACTGCCATGAAAAAGGTGACTTCCCCTGGAGTCGACAGGACAGGCGAGATGTCCACCAATACAGAAGCAGCCTCATCCAGCTCCGATCAACCTTGCAGAGTCAACAATGGGGTCCTTGCAGAAATCTTACAGGATGACACTGCGCAAAGAAGATTACTTGAGGCTGGGTCAGAGTTGATGCTTCAACGACACTTGGATTACAATGGATATCTTACTACTAGCGAACAGACAAAGTGGAAAAATATCATCACCAACGCCCTGTCCGAAAAGTCGTTTAACGACACATCCAAATACCTGATCGACAAACTCAGGGAGCCTTACAAGACGAAGCTGCTCAAGTTCCTCTACTCCAATTGCGGACTATTGGAGACTCACAGATGATGACATTCGGGATCATGGTGCATCAAAAGAATCTTTGCTTCGTTTTCAGCGGTGCAAACAGTTGTGCATGCAAGTTGGCGCCACAAAGTTTTGCGTGTTTTGACCTACATTAGCTGGATCAAGCCACTAATTGATGGACTGTTGGTGTTTCTTAGGGTTGTTGTCCTTTCTTTTCTTTTCCCTTCTTTTCTTTCTTTTTGGTTCCATAGGGTTCTATATACTTTGTAGTCTGTAATAGCCATGGAGCCCAACAAGACAACAGTGGCTGCAGCAGATGATGATTCTCAATATGTCAAACAACCGCTGATGGCCATACAGTCCTGGATGCAGCATACAGAGCGCGAGCTCAGGGCAGTCAGAAGTGATTTGGATGCGCACAGACAGTTCCAGTACAATTCCAATGACCAACTGCGCAATAGGTTTGGACATGTTCATCAGATCACAGTGGACATTCGCAGCGAAATGAAGTACATGCAGTCTCATCTGCAAGATGTCACAACCAAAGTGCAAGAGATCGACACAAAGCTCGAGCAACAATCTGCATTGCTGAGACAACTTCTGGCGGAGCTTGCACACATTAGGAACGCAGAGACCCAGCCCATGGCCACACAGGTGATTCAGGACGACTGACACACATCACCGCATTGGATGTTGCACAAGTAAAGTCTTCCCAATTGCGATATAAAAGAATGAGTGGAGCATGCGTCCGCTTCAGCCAAGTCTTGTGTGGTTGTGCATCATGTTTAAACTTTTTCTTGTTTGGTTACTTTGCTCCTTAGGCCTTGGTTCAAAGTTGTGTGGGTGTTAGTTGGTCCACTTGTTCACATCATGGAAGCATTGGTTGCAGTGGTTGGTGAATTTCCACTTCAAGATGTGATGATTCTTGCTATCATCATGGAGTTCCTGGCCAAACAACATGTACATGTGGAGGCCCGCATTCTTTTTATGCGGAGGAACCCAAATCACCCTGATGTGCTTCAGACACGAAACCGCATCCAGTTCTTCAAGGGCGAGTGGCCGATCCTGATTGAAGATTCACCGATTAAGGTAGAAGCCAGCTTACAACGTGGTGACAATCCTCCCTGGACCATGGATGGAGCAGTTCCGTATGAGACAGGCTTTCGAGTTCAGTTTCGGCATTGGTCCACAATCCTACTCCCCCGGTATGCAGCAATCAGCAAAGACTGGTACAATAGCACGGGTATATTTGGTGATCAGTTTGTTCGAGTCCAGACACGCAATCCCAGACCTTTGCGGGTAAGTCGCAGTTCGGTGGACGAATTCACTGTGCACGACAACGACAATGAGTACCACGTAGTAGCAGGCTGCGAAATTCTTCTTACATTTGAGTGCCACACGCTGGTACGCCCACTTCATTCTACAAGATCGTCCTGCGCAAGTGATCCGTGACAACTGACAGACGTCACAACATTGGATATCTCACAAGTGAGGTCTTCCCGATTGCGATGTAAAAGAATCAGTGAAGCATGCGCCTGCGTCAACCAATTGTTGTGGTTGTGCACCATGTCTAAACTTTTTCTTGCTTGGTAAAATAAGTGGTTCAAGCTTTCTTTATGTTTTTGGTCCTAGAAACTCTATTTCGCCATGTTGGGTGAGCAATTCTACACTTGGTTGCGTCAAGCAACAGCAGCCGACTTGCAGCGAGCAAGGGACGCCATTCAGTTTGAGATGGAGATGAGGGAACATCAGCAACGCATGGCATATGAAAGACATTGGAGGGAGTTTCCACTTCCTTGTATTCATGTTTGCCAACGCGAAGGGTGTCAAAGACTCTGTTCCCATCAGTCAAACCACCCCCATCGCAAGGTTCAACACCAAGCTTCAGGAAAGCATTACTGTGCGCTACATTTCCTGGACCATTGACAGACCGCATGCAATATCATTAAAAAAGACCAACGTTTCCTGTCTTTTCCTGTTTATGGGTGGTAGGAACCCGCATAGCGGGATGGTGTGTGTGGGACCTCCGAAATTCCAAGGAACTAAGGTTTTGACTGTGCTTTTTAGGAGTGCAGGGGGATGCTGGGGATTTCTGCAGTCAGCATTCAACGAAGACACTGCAGATTTCCTGTGATATGTGGAAGGGACGCCTTCTGCATGTACCTGCATGGCCGCCCAAATCCT